TAGAAACACCAATGACAACTCATGCTGGAGAGGATGTGGAGAAAGGGGAACACTCCTCCACTGCTGGTGGGAGTGCAAACTCATACAGCCATTTTGGAGATCAGTATGGCAATTCCTCAGGAAAATGGGAATTAGTTTACTACAGGACTCAGCAATCCCCCTCTTAGGCATATACCCAAATGATCCACATCCATGCAACAAAGACATCTGTTCAACTATGTTCATAGCAGCACTATTTGTAATAGCAAGAACCTGGAAGCAACCTAGATGCCCCTCAATTGAAGAATGGATAATGAAGATGTGGCACATCTACACAATGGAATACTACTCTACAGAAAAAAATAATGGTATCTTGAAATTCGCAGGCAAGTGGATGGCACTTGAAGAAACCATCCTGAATGAGGTAACCCAGTCACAAAAAGAGGAACATAGTATGTACTCACTCATATATGGATTTTAGACCTAGAGCAAAGGATCACCAGCCTAAAATTCACACCACCAGAGGAACTAGGATACAAGTTCCCCAGAGCAGGCAGTGAATGGATAGAGAAGTAGGAGAAAGCGAGGGGGAGGAGAAGAAAACACGTGTGACTAAGAAGATTGAGTACCGGTAGGAATAGAAGACAGGAGAGAGAGAGAGAACATAAAAGAAGGAGCCAATATTGGTTTGAAGAGAAAATTGAACCCAAAGAAAGATCTAGAGAACTACAAGACTGCCGCCAACTAACAATTTGAGCTTCTGTGAAAAGGCTACCATAAATGCCCTTCCTGGATAGTGAGATCAACAACTAACTTATCCATGGAGCCCTCATCTAATACCTGTTGGAAACAGGAGCAAACAGCCATACATAAACACTGAGTCGAACTAGAACCCAGATGCAGATGGAGAGGACAAGACCAGGCTACAGAAACACATAGAGATAGCTGACCTGAACAAGGAGGAGCTAACGGGCCCCCAGACTGATAGCTGGAAGCCAGCATGGGACTGACTCAGGACCCCCTGAATATGGGTCTTAGCCAGAAGACTGAGCAAGAAGACTGAGCAGTCTAAGGGACCTCAGACAGTGGAGCCAGGATCTATCCCTGATGCACAAAAGGACCTTGCTAATACATTCCCCCATGGAGGGATAACTGCCTTAACCTAGAGACAGGAGAGAAGCCCTACTTCACATGACCTGTCAGATCTACATGACCCCAACTGGATGGCATTCCCCTACATAGGGAATTGGGGTGGGGGGATGGGATGGGAGGGTGGTTAGAGTGCATGTGAGAGGGCAGAGAGGGTAAAAGGTAGGGAGAGGAAACTGAGATCGACATGTAAAATAATAAATTAAATAAAAATAAATTTTAAAAAGGAACTTCCATTTAAAGCTTAACAGAAGCTTTAAAAAAGGGTTTTACAAACCAAAAAACAGACAAAAGTAAGGCTTCTTGGTAGCAGCATGTTTTTCTCGGTTGGGTTCTGTTTTGCTAAATACAAACAGAGATTTGAGCGGCTCCTTTAAGGGAGGTTTCCTGACTCAGCATAAGCTGCAAAAAACCACATGGCTTTAAAAAAAAAAAGCACTGCTAACAATTCATTGGTGTCTATGAGAGCTGGCAATGGCAGTGAACACATCTCCAAGCCGGCAGCATGCTGCTGGATGGCAGCACAAGCCAAGGCGGTGAGAACAGCTCTCACTGCTGGCAGTAAAGGTACCCGCCGCCATCTTTGGTAAACCGTGACTGACACAGCTATGACTTTCATTTTAGCAATGTTGATGTTTACCTGATAACAGATTCGTGGCTACAAAAAGATAAAGATTTACAGTAAAGACTGATTTACATTAAGAAAAAGCACTACAGGTTTACAGTGTGTTCTAATATATATGTAGGCTTGGGAGAGAAAAGGAATAAAATGGTTTTAAATAGACAGAGAGGAACTGGGTGTGGTGGCACACGCCTTTAATCCCAGCACTTGGGAGACAGAGGCAAGCAGATCTCTATGATTACAAAGTAAACCTGGTATGCAGAGTGAATTCCAGGACAAAAAGTTACACAAAGAAACCCTGTCTCAAAAAATAAAAAGTAAAATAAACAGAGTAATAATAAAGCCACGTAAAAATGTAAAGCTTGGAGAGAATCTGTATACTGTATGGCATTATATTGTCTTTATATCGTTTGACTGCTGAGGAAACAACTATTAAAGGAAATACTGCTGGATTAATTCAATTTATATATTTTAAAAATGCTTTGACTTCAAAATTTAAGTCTAAGGATAAGTTACTGAGGAAAAGGATTTCCATTTTTGTTTCCTTCCAGACTAATGTAGTTTGATCAAGCCAGACCCCCTGAAACAGAGTCACAGGTGATCCAACATTCAAAACAGTTGGGACATAGCAGACTATAGCCAGGATTTCTGCATCTTCTTAGGATCCCCATGACAGCGCCCCCTACCAGCAGAAAGCAGTTTGAAAAGAATGACGCCCAAATTCCCAAATATTGTTTATAAATGTTTGTTTTCATTTAAATGGGGTTAGTTATAAATGGTTAATGATTACAGCCAATTCTTTTTAAAGGTAAAAAGGGAAATATGGTATAGATATGAATACTTTGTGTTGGAATGAATTTTCATTTATTGATACAAATTTAAGGTCAATTTTGTGATATGTATATTTCTCCCCTTGTTTAGGTATTGTGTTTATAAAGCTCATTTAGAAATGCAATGTATAAATTAGTACAGATTATAGATAGTTACCTATAATAGTCAAAACTTAGAGTCAAGTTACTTAGGTTTTCAAGATGTATTTGAGATAGATAGACATTCTTCAATCCTTTCAAAGACCTACAGAATATGGCATTTAAAATGGTTTAGGGTTTTTCTTGACAGTGAGACATAAATGCTCCTGGCAACACCACCTGTGTCAGAAAGGAAGATGGACATCGAAGAAATTCGTTATGAAATTCGCTTTCAATATGACAAGACTAGCCATTTGGGCAAGATACTGCTCTTGTCTGGACTGTTTGACTTTATGATGTATAAACTGGACATGCAGGACCCACAGAAAAGTGACTGCTGATTCAAGATGGACATTGCTACAGAGTTCCTGCTTCATGGAAGAGTCTGCCAGTCAGTCTGCAGGACAGAGAGAAAAGTGACTGACAAACTGTCAATACAAGAACAGTTTAAAGTTTCCTGCTTTGCTGAAGAGTCTGCCAGACACACTATGTCCTATGGGCTGAAGATGAAAGATTACAGAAGAACTTCAGGTGAATGACCAGGCAGTGAGTTGTCTCTGTCATTTCTAGAATTTATATACTATCCTTCTTGAAGGAGTTGAAGACAGATAGTTATGGTTATAACTTAGTTAGAATTAAAGATAAGTTACATATAGGACTTCAGACTCACAAAGATAGGATAGATGATGGAATATTTTCTTCAAATCTTGCTAAATGTTAATGGACTAAATATTGTTAACTGTGATTCTTACTGGATAAGTGTTGTGTTATATTTTGCTTTGTTAAGGTTAAAACCCATCTTTTTATTTTAGACAGAAAAGAGGAGATGATGGGAAATGTCATTCTATAAATATGTTTCTCATGCTGGTTAATGAATAAAGCACTGTTGGCCAATAGGAAAGCAAGATAGGCGGGACTAGGAGAAAAGGAGGAAAGAGGAAGTAGTAAGGAGGAGTCAAGATGGAGAGTCTGGAGAAAGCAGGATGCCAGCCGGCTCTCCAGTAAGATGAGACCATGTGGAAATACATAGATTAATAGAAATGGGTTAATAATTAAGATAGAGCTAGCTGATAAGAAACTAGTACCTGGCCAACAGCATTATATCAAATACAGAGTCTCGGTGTGTTAATTGGGGCTGGCACGGCAGCAGGACAAGACCAGCGGCGGGAGGATAAACCTTACTCCTTACACAGGAAAGACCCTGACTCAAAGGAAAAGGGTGGAGAATGATGAAGATACCTTCGTGTGGCCTCCACACACCAGCACACACATATACACACACTGTACTCACACTCACACACACACACCATACATATCATGTCCTAATAACTTTATAATGGCCCGTGCCAAGACAAGTTTTATCAAAACTTTTAGATTACTATTGACATTCTGGTGATTTAAATTTATAGATATGAAACTTTCTAAATAACTTTCTCATCAACTTACACCATAAACATTAGTAAGGGATTGTAACCCTCAGGGTTACATAAAACAAAGTAAACCAGTGCTACCTAGTCCTGAAGGCAGGGCATCTAACACTAGAGGGCAGCCCTTCTCTTTAGGGCTGGCTGCTTACCCTAGCTAGGAAACACCTCTTCAGACAGTAGGCCTTCAAAACCGAAGGAAAGCATGGCTTTGTGCAAATCACATGGGCTTAGTGATCAGAAACCCGGTCATTTGTTGGTAGAATAACTTCAGGTGTCTGCCATCTTGAGAGGTTACTGGGGGAGGAGGGGGGATGAAGGTTCCTGGGGGGGTATGAAGGTCACTAGAGGTAATGCAGGTTACTTGGGGGGTGTAATGGAGGTTACTGGAGGCTGCTGGTATGCTTTAAGCTGCCTGCAGCACAGCTTTGGACTAATGGATGTACTTAGCACTTTGTTACCAACCCAGGTGTGTGAAACCCCATTTAGTGGCTTAGTCTTGAGTACCACACACCTCCCCTCTGTCATCTGCCTTGATGCCTTCGCTTTCCTTGTTCATCTTCATTTGAAGGCTCTTATTTTTAAATATAGGGAGTTTCTGCCTTTTTAACAATGAAACATTTTAAAGCTACTCTACTGAAGGTTCCCAATGTCAATAGACACAATCTCTAGAGCCACAGTGTCCAGCCTATTAGAAATTATTGTAAAGACCAACAGCATGAGTTTCATACGTAAGTTCAAGATGCACCAAATGTTCTTAAATCTGGCCTCACAGAAGCCCTACCTCTAGGAACTTCCCTTGCCTCTTGTGAGTTCTGAGACTTTGTTATGACATTGATTCCGGAACCTTCACAGAACATATCCTGCTTAGGTCCAATGACCCTAAGCCACACAATTCCTGGGAGACCCTCTGCACCCTTGTCTACAAGGGTCTCCTGACACTCAGGTTCTCACAGCTCAGAGGCGGTGAGCTTGAGGTATTTGTTTTATCTTGATCTCTCTCTCTGACAAAAGACTCCAAATGACGAGGAACTCACTGAAGACACTAACCAAAAGATGGCAGTCTTGGGTAAGAGCCAGCTTCCTCTCTGTCATTCCCTTGATACCTCCTCTTTCAAGCCCTGTCTTGGGGACACTAATGGAGCTAGCTTTCTTACCTGTGTCTTTCAACTCTAATATCCCTTCTTCCATTCTGACTGACTCCTCTGGGAAGCTGAGGGAAAGTTGTCTATGGTCACTTTCTAGCTATAGCAGTCTTCTCTGGCTTTCTGAAGTTTGAACTCTGAGAAAGAGTAACCACTGAGTTACCACAGTGCTGGAACATGACACAGCCTCCCACATCCTTCCTGCACAATCTGCCTCAGCACTGAGATATACAGACTTCACCCCTTTTCCCCATACTGATGACCACCTTCCAAACACCCAATCTAAGAGGATTTCAGACAACAAGCAAAGGGACAGCTGCTCTCTGGGACTTCTGAGCCCACCATCTAAATTTACCTCCCTTTCACCAGAGTTTAACACTCTCTGACTTTAGAGGTTCATTCAAAGCAAATCTCCAAAGGTAAAGGGTTTGGCAACAGAATTTTCTCACATTGCCAAACATCTAAAAAGACTCAGTAGACATATGCCTGATCTGTCAGTTGCAGGGGTGATGTTACATCGTGAGGTAGACTTTTGGAAGTAGCCCTGATTGTGAAATAATCTGTTTTCTTAGTCATTCGGAGTTTGACATTCTTTAGTGTTTCCACTGTGGTGACAGACTTGTAGTTGCTATGGATGTATTTCCCATTCATTGTCTTTCTGCTGTGTCTTAAATATCAAATGCAAATCAACTACATAGATATAAGAGAGTCCTAGTGCAAATTATCTTCCAGGCCTGTGACAAAGTTCACAAACTTATCATTCGGCTCAGTAGGCAATGACTCCTAGGCCTTCCTCACTTATAAGAAAGGTCTGTCCTTTCATTACCTTCAGACAGCATCTTTCCAGGACCTTCAAAACCTTTGGTTGCTCATCAATGCAAAAAAAAAAAAAAAAAAAAAAAAAAAGCCCTATATAATCTCTACATATGTAGAGCTATAAATGTTTATGAATGTACAAATATACCAATATTTGTGTTTTAAATAAAAAGGGAATTGTATACACAAAAAGGTTAAATTATACACACAAAAATAGAAGTTCTAATTTTTTTCCTCACACCTCAGAGGACTGCTTTGGGAGACCACTGATCTTCCTGTAGCCTTCTCCTACTTCACTGAAGGGCCTCATGGAGGAGAAGATCCCTCAGATTGCCTGATTTAAAGCCAGGGTTATAGCAGCCAGGGCTCTTACAAAACCAAGACAACAAGCATAAGAGCTAAAACTGAGCCGGGACAGGAATGACGGACACTGGGCTTGACTGTGTGACTTGTAACCCCTGTGCATGGAAGGCAAAGTTTGCAGGAGAATCAAGAATTAGTGCCAGCCTTGGTTACATAGTGAATGCGAGGACGGTTTGGGCTGTGTGAGACCACATCTAAAAACAACAAAAAATCAATTAAAGAGTTGAGTGAGAAGGAGGGGAGGCACAGAACAGTATGATGGCAGCAGTGGTCTCTGGTGATGGCATGGCCCAAAGTCCACAGGTGTCCTTTTGTTTCAGAAGTAATTTTAGCTGTCACCTTGAGTCTGCTGGGTCTTGCTATCCTGGCTATCCTGATAATAAGATGGACACGGAGGCGTAGGCAAAATGGTGAGTAACCATAGCAACTCCCCATGGAAGTCTCAGAGGGAGGGAAACTGAGATGCAGCTACAGATTTTGCCGGTGTGCTCAGAGTGTGTCCCACACATACGTCAGAGATTTTACCTTGTCCATGTGTCTACTCACAGAGTGAAATTCCAATGCATACACTATCAGCACTGTCAACAAAAACACAAGAATTAGCGAGAGAAATGAGAATACTTTGAAACAAAATCTATCTCGGTTCCAAAGGGAAGTATTCAAGTCTGAAAATGTGGGAAAACAAGATGCTGGCAGAAGCCACATCTAATAGTGTGCAGAAAGAACCTGGGGCTGTGAGTGACAGCTTTGCAGACAGCAATACAAACAGGGCCACAAAATTAAGGTCCCTCTCCACAGGATCCTCCTTAATACCTGTCACTGCATTCCCCAGATTTCCTCTCCTCGGTACCTGTGAACCCTCAGAGAGAAAACAGGCTAGCAAGACAGGGCTGGTTGGGAGTGCCAGAAAGGGAGGACTCAGTATCCTGTCAGGAGAACCGCCATGGGAGCAAAGTTTAGAGTACAGAAGATTGGGTGGGAAAGAACACCTCTATCAATAGCTAACGGAAACATTTATCTAACCCTTTCACAGAGGCACGGATCTCCAGATACACTTCAGAACAGAGTGAGTACCTGACACCTCGGATGACAAAGCACCGAGCGCCTGTGGATCCTCTGTGTGTGTCTGGCTCACCTGTGTGCTTCCAGAGCTTGATAGAGTATACCATCCCATGAACTACACCTTTGAGTTTCTAAGGGAATCCTGTCCGACATCTTCTAGAATGGATCAGTAGCGTGTGAGCGTGAATGGTCCCGAGGCTCCCCTCGGTGACAGCAGAAACACTAAGCCTTGGATCAACAGGCCCAGTGGGCATTAGACTGATGACCCAGTGGCCTGTGAAAGGTCTAAGTCTCCCTGTGAAGAGGCCTCTGTAAGGTAGCTGGACAGAAGGCTCTAACAGCCGGGAATGGTGAGATTGGATCCAGCTAAGCTTACTATAATGGGAGGGAAAGACAGCAAGGTCTCTGAGAGCTAGCCCAGAACACTGCATGGAAACAGGAAGCTGGGCACAGCAGTGACAGGCCCCTCCTTGTCACCTGACCGAGCCAACATTCTAAACTGTCCCTTCACCCATTAACCCACATGCTTCTCCATCCTGGAAATTTGTGATTATGTTAACTCATAGATGTGTAAGTAAAGCCCCGCTGGTGATGAAGAAACACAATCACGGAGCTCTCTCTCCTTCCTTCCTAGGTGCTGGTCTTCTGGAGTATGAGGACGGTAGGGACAAAGAGATCAGGAGCTACAGACAATTCTTGAAGAATGTGCTTCTTAGGGAATACCAGCCTCTCCCCCTTCAGCATCATGTGTACAAGCAGCACAGATTCTACTGTTACACTTCCAACTGCCCTTCTCTACGCTCATGCACACACAGATGCAAAACTGCTGTGCATTTTTCTCAAAAAGGGAAACCATTCCTCCCTCTTAATACCATCTCTTGCTTACTCCATCCCCCAAGATTTATAAGATTATGAAACAATTCCACAGATGTTTCAGATAAGATAAAAAGGGGCTGGAGAGATGGTTCAGTGGTTAAGGGCACAGACATACATGTAGGCAAAACAGCCATCCTATACACATAAAATAAATTTTAAATTGATAAAATACATAGTTTATAGATTGTCCTGAAAGTTAAATAACATATTGAAGAGATACTTTGGAAGCTATACAATAAAATGAGACACACAAAATTTGTGAACCCTGTTTTAGGAAATGAAATTAATTATCTAAACAGCTGATACTGGTCCACGCCCCGCTACTAAAGGAGAAACTGGGTTCTGAGTTCAGGCTTGAGACTCTAGTGCCCAGGTCTAACCTAAGTGCACCTACTGGATTTAGAGAAATGAGGATTATTGAATGCTGGGTTTCAACATCTAGCATTATTTATAGTTAGGTTATACACAAAATTGAGATATGTAGGCTGATGTAAACACAGAGTCATAAAAAGGTAATTTAAAATAAGACATCTCAAGAAACTTGATGGCTATGAGGGGACTCCAAGGCATGGAGGCTTTCTGCAGGGACTCACGCGCAGCCTTGTGGTTACAGTGTACCATTGATGTCCTTCACTCCAAAACCTCAAACTTCTTCTTAATGGCTGCCCATGAGTGTGCACTCAGTTCACTCTGCCAGTAGTTACATCCAGGTCTCATTGGGAGCTACTAGACTTGCCCCTCATTCCCGTTTGAAGCCACTAAACTGGGCCCACCAACCAATCTATAACTAAAGGATAATGAAGCTTTGGGTTGTAGAAGCAACCACACACATTTACACACATGTGCATGAGAGCACACACACACACACACACACACACACACACACACACACACACACACCAAACATCAATCCCCAGCCGTTAGAGAAAGTCTGGTCACTCCGGTTGCTGCATGCACCCTCCACTTATGTTCACTACCCCTTCCTCCATCTTTATGATTCATGGCATGCTAGAGTACAGAGCAAAGAGCTTCTGAATCCTCTATATTTTCTGAAACTAAAGATGAATGAATGGAAAGGTCTGGGAAAGTGCTAAATCCCTTAGTGTCGATGTGGGCTAGTGGTAAATTTATTTCTTGGTGAGATGTTCGTAACTTAGTCCGTTTTCTCTTTCTTTCACACAAGGTGTTTCCTCGGGGAGACGTAAGAAAGGAAGAGGAGGTAAACAGAATTTCATTTCATATGCAGCACAGATGTATGTATACTCGATTCAGAGCCTCATTGTGTTTCGTTTCCTTTAGGGTCCCGAAGTTCGTTTTCAACAGGAAGTGGTAAATAAACTAGACACTGGTTTGTTAAGAAATGATTAAGTCTGTTTAGAAGACAGTAAGAATCTTACACTTTTCTTCAACCCTCTAGACATTTCATGTGATGACTGAGGTAAGTACGTTTATGGTAAAAATTAGAGAGAACATCAATCTTTCTCCTACTGTAAGTAGGATCTGTAAGTAAACACCTTTAAAAGGAAAGGCTTGAGCTCGGCTGCTGGCTAAGATGTTCCTGCCCGTGGGGCCTTGATCCAGTTGCTTTGAAGCTGTGGCAAGGACACCATGGCAGGGGCACATGGGGATGGAAACTGCTCAGGGGAAGCAGAGAGCATTCACTTCCATAGCAGTCCCTGCTCCAAAGCCCATTAATCCATGGCTCATAAATAAATCAGTTCAGTCATGAGGTGAGAGTCTCATGATCTAGTCACCTCTCAAAGACCCCACCAGGGACTGCCCTGGGGGGGTCCAAGCCTTCAACCCGTGACCTTCTGGAACACAATTGAGATTCAAACCGCAAGCTCATGTGTGTCCCAGAGTACAAAATAAATCTATTTCCTCTCCAAGGACCCCAAAGTCTTAATGCTTCCAGGACCAGGTACAAAAATAATGTACAAAATACCAGCAGACCAAATTGTGTATTTTAAAAAAGAATCATTTGCCATGATCAGTAGGAGTATGATTCTTGCATGTAAATCAATAAATTGGGATAAAAAATGAAAAAATAAAGTTATATGGCCATATTTAGAGTTGTAGAAAAGGCAGTGTTCCTCTGTGGCTTCTGCTCCAGCCCCTGCCTCCAGGTTCCTGCCCAGTTTAAGTTCCTGTCCTGATTTTTCTCAGTAGTGAAATGGTGGGGGTAATAACAAAATAATTAAAATAAAAAAATTTTAGGAGTAGGAAGAGCAATTTGTATACAATGTAACAAAAATAATTAAAAATACAAGACCATGAATTTGAGGAGAGAGATGTGGAAGGAATTAGAGGGAGGAGAAGCAGGGAAGAAATGATATAAACACAGTATTCATATATGAAATTCTCAACAAATAAATTTGCAAATAAAAATAAGTAAATTCATACAAACAAGATTAGAAAGGCAATTAATTACTAAAGAACAAGGGTGAAAGAATGGACAGTACTGGTCAAAGCCACAAACTTGCCATTCTAAGGGAAATAAGTCCTGAAGAAATAATGACAGAATAACTAATGTATGCTTGTAGTTCACTTAGTGAATGGGTTTGAAGCATTCTCATCATGACAAGAAAAAAGACAATCTGTGGATTGATTAACATGCTTATTTGCTTGAATGTGGTGATCCTTTATGCAATGTTTATATCAAACCATCATGAAGCTACTCAATCCTGTGCCAATTATACCCCAACCCAGGCAGAAAAAGAAAACATCACCTTGATGCACCTTCTTTCCTGTTAATACCGGGGGTCAGGTCCCTGAAAATTAATTGTGCAATGGTGTGATTTGGACAGTGATGTTCCCAGGGTTCAAAGAAGTATGGCCATTGTCTGGTGTTGTTTCTGTGCCTCCTAATTCTTGTCACCTCAGTGACAGTACATCCAGCTATTGCACAAAGCTGCCTTGGTGTGAGAAACTTAAGGTTGCAAAACAAAGCCTCCCACAAAAAGATGTGGAGAGGATCAATATGCACTCAGCACCTACTACATGCTTGCTCCTCCAGTGGGCCTTCATCATCTTGTCTCTACAAGCAACTCAGTCACATGTGTGAACGGCCCAGAACTGTCCCTGCCATCACAGGCCACCTCTAGCTTACAGTGGAGGACACTGGGGATCCTCCAGGCTCACAAAGCCCCATAGCAGGAGCATAGTGCAGGATTCCCTGTGCAGTGAACAACTGGAACCACTGTAATATAACAGCTCTGAAGATGTGAACCATCAGGGGGGCCTTGGTGATCACTAAGACTATGACTCCTGATTTGCAGAAGAGAAACTTATTCACAAGGAATGTTAATGCATATATGCACATAGGATTTCTTGGCCCTAACTTTATTTTCACATGATTTAGCACTGCCATAATTGTTCATTCCTGACTGTGGATGTTTACCTCCTTAGGGAGACATTTTACTAAGTGTGGATAAGCCAAACTTGAAAACACTTAAAGACTAATGGCTTTGTCATCACCCCTAAAAGTGGCCTAAAAATCCCAGCTATTCTAAGTTTCTGGGTACCCAAGCTCTGACCAGTTCTCTTTTGTCATGTTGGGACATAAGAATATTAATTAGCAAAAGAAAAAAAAAGAAAAGAAAAAAGAATATTAATTAGCCAGTAGACTGAGTCTATGCAAGTCATGATGTTAGTTTAGGTGCTTGAAATTTTGTGTTTACAGTTTAGTTTAAATGAACAACATATATGAAAAGGTTGCTATGGTAATGTAAACATTTTGATATTTAATCGAATGCATGCTTGATATTAGAGTAAATGTATTTACAGTGCATAGGTGTTTTATTTTATAAAAAAATTTAAATAGATCATGTACAAGGGCCAGGGTTTAGATCCCTAGCACCCACATAAAGCCAAATACAGAGACAGCATTGTTGGGGACAGACATGGCCTGATCACTAGTGCTTATAGGTCAGCCATCCTAAGCCAGACTGGTGAGGCTCAAGGCCAACGGCTGGCACTATCTTAAAACCTCAGATGAAGTGAGGGGGTGGGCAGTGCAGGTTAGCAATAGAGTACTGCCAGGCATGCACAGGCCCTGGGTTTGATCCCCAGCATTGCGGAATAAATTAATGAAGTAAGATGAGAATGAGTGGAAAAGGTATCCAATGCTGACCTCTGGCCTCCACATGTACACATTCTTGCATATGGGCACTCACATGTACATGTGCACACATGTGCAAACAACTATATGCAACACACACTCACCTGGGAAGAAGGAAACACAGCTGAGAAAGCACCTCCATCAGACTGTGAGCAAATCTGTGGAACATTCTCTCGATTGATGATTGATGATTGATGAAGGTGTCACCTCCTCTCCTTGCCTGCCCTCCCCCCAGCAGGTGGTCCTGGGTTGCTGAGCAAGCCATGGGGAGCAGTAATAGTTAGCGGCACTCCTCCATGGTCTCAGCTTCAGTTCTTGTCTCGGGTTCCTCCCTGAGTTCCTGCCCTGACTTTCCTTCATGAAGAATGGAAAGCCATAGGATAAAATGGCTTTCCTCCCCGAATGGCTTTCAGCAATGGAAACCTAACTTAAGGCAGCACCAGAGGGTGGAAGGAAAAGAGCCACCCGTTTCCAGAAAGGAACTGAAACTGGTGCTCTGACAGCTCTGAGCAACTGACTAGATTTCAGCCGAGTGCCAAATGCCCCTGCTGCCCGGCACCAACACAGATTGACAGCAGTGCCAAGTCCCTGAGTTCATGAGGGAGAGGAAAACAGTGTTTGTGTACATTTTGCCTGTCTTGAGATCGTTTAGGTATTCTGTTGCTATGATATCACTAAAATCTGTGTTAGCTCTCCAGAAGTCCGTTCAATGATTACTTCTATGTGTATGCACAGTTAAAGTATGTGGTACCCTTTAAACTTACATTCTCAGGCATTCTACCAAACCTCTCCTACTCTCCTCCAACTCCTATTATAATTAATATATCCCCATTTAATGTCTCCATCCCTTGTTTCTTCCGTAAATTATTTGCCTTGACTAGTCTCCATCACTTGTTCATTTAACTCGTAAGTCAGAGCTGTCACCTCTGGTTCATTGTCTGCCTGTTCTCTGGTGATGTTTGGGTAGTCGTCTACACTGGTACTAACACTATCATGTTAAAACTGACTTTTCTTTTTTTGTGTGTGTGTGCTTTCAGAAGTGTCCAGAGGAGGTTGCAGTAAGTATTGTCTCACTTCTTGAAACTTGATTCCACTATAGCACCTTCCTTAGGTTGTGTTTAAGGAAAGACAAATTCCCTGCACACAACAGTCACCTGCTCCCCCAGTTCTGATTTCGCCACAGATCACCTGGAAGAAGAGGAGAAAAAAATGAATCAGAGAAAGGGGCAGAGGAGGGAGGAGGAAGCAGGAAAAGAGAGAGGAAAGAGAACAGCAGGAGATCTGAACCTAAGAGGTTTATACTGACATGTGCCGGGAACACAGGTCAATGGCAGAGTGCTTGCTTAACATGTGCAAGGCCCGGTCTTAGTTAAGGTGACTATTGCTGCAATGAAACACCATGACCAGACCAAAGCAACCTGGAGAGTAAAGGATTTGTTTGATTTACACTCCCACGTTACTGTTCATCATCCAAGGAAGTTAAGACAGGAACTCACACAAGGCAGGAACCTGGAGGCAGGAGCTGATGTGTAGAGGCCATGGAGGGGAGCTGCTTACTGGCTTGCTCTCCATGGCTTACTCAGCCTGCTTTCTTATAGAACCCAGGACCACCAGCCCAGGGATGATGCCACCGACAATGGGGTGGGCCCTCCCCAATTGATGACTAATTAAGAAAATGTCCTGGAGGCCAGCTTACAACCTCATCCCATGGAGGCATTTTCTCAGCTGAGGCTCCCTCCCAGCCCAGTGACCCTACCTTGCGTCTCGTTGATATAAAACTGTCCAACACAAGCTCTACATTTCAGTTATCATCACCAGAGCAGTCCTATAGCAGCAGTATGTGCAGGAGCTGACAGGCAAAGGTTAGGAGCCCAAATTCTGCTGGCCAACCTCCTGAGTTTCTGTTTGTGTTTTAGTGCCATCTTCTCTGGGAGGACCATCAGCCAACACAATGAGGGTACAATCAGGCAATTCCCTGGGTGAGTGCTCCCTGGCTTTGCTTTCCGTTCTACCAAGCCTTATTGTTTGCATACCTGTTTTTCCTTCCTTTTAAGAGTTTTTAAAATAAGATGTAAAAATAATTGACACTGTGTATATAACACCCTCTCTGCATATGGACACCCCCTTTGTGTAAACACCCTCAGTGTGTGCACACACCCTGGTACAACGTGCAAATCCAGTGCATGTACACACCCTCAATGTGTAAGCA